GATCAACTGTCAAGGAAGATTTGGGATGCACACCAGCTCAACTTGTGTATGGTACTACCTTCACATCGCCTGATCAGTTAGTTCCATCTGATGATTCCATTGATGTAAATATCTCCGACTTCACCAACCGCCTACCCAGCAAATGCTCCAGCTTCGTCCAGTAGCCCCTTGCCAATCACTTCAGAAAGTTGAAGTTAACAAGAGTCTACTCACTTGCAAATTTGAATTTGTTCGCGTCGATGCCACTAGAAAAGGTTTACAATATCCATATGAAGGTCCTTTTCTAGTACTTAAACGCACCGATAAATACTTCACGCTGAACAGACGTGGTAAACCGGAGACTGTTTCTGTTGATCGTCTTAAACCAGCGTACACCGACAGCGAATATGAAACACTAGCAACGCCTGCACCAATAAACAATGAGAAAGTCAATTCAACTCCAACTCTTCCGCTCTTCACACTTCCCCCTGTACAGACACGCAGTGGACGGCAGATCTGTAAACCTGCCCGCTATGTTCATTTTATTAACTGACATAAAAAAAGTACGTTAACCTCATTTAGACATTCTTCTCATTACTATTGTTGTCGAGATTCGTTTCATTATAACCATTAATATTTATTAGTATTATTATTTGCTGTTCGTCAACTGTACTGCAAGCACACGCATTCACCAAGTATATGTATATATCTATTTATATATGAATTTCACAAATGCTAACGAACATGTCATGGTTTATTATGTACATAAATTTTTTATTTAAAATTATAACAGGTTTTGATTTTTTTTAATTCCTGAATCATGCATGCATGTGCTAAACTTTATACGACACGTTTGCATTCCATACATCCTGATCTCATTTTGTATCCTTATTGTTGTTGATGTTATTTTTTGTTATCCTTATTGTTGACACTATCCATTATTTATATTGCTTATATTCATGTAATCGTCCACGAGGAGAGTATTGATGGTCCTCCGTACCTCTAAGAGGGGAGCCGAGTGGAGTCCTCAAAAATAAACTTATCCAATTTTTACTACTATGTAAGAAATGAACATATTGTACATTACTTTGTTTTAACCATAAACTCTATACTCTGAACTTTACCCCGGGTTTTGAATAAATATATAGTTCTGCCTCTGTAAGGCATGGTAAGTTCGGCGGTTTTCTAATGTTGAAACTATGCTTGTCTACTTTCAGGTTGGCTGTGAAGGATGCAGGGATTGGTTACCCAAGACGAGGCAACGGGTGACCAATAGGAGTGCCCTTCCCCCTTATCTAATTGTATTGCGACTGGTTGTAAATATAACACTTGACCTTGAGTCTTCGTTCTTACTAGCACGCGACGCTTGTGTGATCACACTGCTAACATGCGCTTTGCTTTCTGTTTCAGATCATTGCTTGACGAGTGGGATTACATAAATGGCGAGCCTGCCAACGAAAAAACTTTCTTCTTCTAAGTCTCGACTTAGTGAGTACGCTGACGACGTAAAGATTTGGAGAGCAATAAACTCATCGGAAGACTCAGATAGATTGCAGGCTGACCTGCAAACTCTGGGAAACTGGGCTCTGGCTAACGGAATGCCTTTCAACCTAAAGAAGTGCAAAGTAGTGCAACTTCATTCCGGCAGTTCACAGAGTGTAAATTACACCCTTGGTGGCCAGAACTTGAGTTGTGTTCCATCAGAGTGCGTTCTAGGTCTCATTCTAACGGAAAAGCTAGACACCAGTGGAAATTACGCTAGGGACGTCGCCAAAGCCTACGAAACTTTACACTTTATGCATAGGCAGCTGGGAGCTCTTACTCCCGAACTGTTCTTAAGGTTATATAAGGCATATGTGAGGCCACACCTTGAGGCGCATAATAACATTGCACCTCCGCTACTCAAAAGGGATGCTAACATTCTAGAAAGTGTCCAGAGGCGAGCGACAAAATGGGTGATCGGCCTCCGCAACAAATCATATGAGGAAAGACTAAAGAAATTAGGTCTTTCCACACTTAGTTACCGAAGGCACAGGGGAGACCTCATCACCCTCTACCAGATCCTAAATGACCAGGCCCACCCAAATAAAAGCATCCTGCCATTAAGTGACTATAGGCTTCCACGAGGTAACCCGCTAAGGATAGCACACCAGAGATCAAAGGCTCGAGTGCGATCACATTTCTTTTCGCTTCGAGTTTGCCGTCTCTGGAACGCGTTACCGGCGTCCGTGACTACAGCGCCTTCTCTGGAGATTTTTAAGCGGAAGCTAGACAATCATGCAGAAATGCAAGGTTTGTGTCTCAATGGCTTATCCTCATAACACTTAAAACCACAATGTTAATGGATAAGCATACAAGCTGAATCCCCACGACCTGTTCTGCCTTCTCTCACTGTACCGACTACTCTATCTTTTCCTTAGGTCACCTTTATTATTCCACTTATCTCAACCCATATTATCTACACTACAACCTATTATTATTATTACTATTCTGCTTTTATGACTACACCGAATGACCAACGGGAGTTAGGTCAAACTCCATTCACGGCAGCAATACAATCCTAACATACTGCATACTACAAACCACATCTCGACCAATCCCCGCACCACTCCTCTTGGAGTCTACCAGAGCTAAAGCAGTCGGGTGGCGGGACTTACTACGCAGAAGCTCATCGAAGATCTGGAACCTCTACCTCACAATCAAGAAGCGAGCTCAAAGAAATCACTGGTTTATACTAGCTCGTAATCAGGATATTGGATATTGGGATATTATATGAGTGGCGGTGGTTTTATAGTTTTCAAGGTTATTATAGTGGGTAGAGGATAGAGGCACAAATCAGCTGATTGCTGCAGTTTTAAGGTGTTATCGTGGTGTTGTGTTTAGGCTATTCTACGTTGTTTTTAGTGGTTTTTTCGACAGAAATGCATTTTAAAAATCATATTTTAACGAAAAAACGTGTAAAAAGTGAGAAAAGTAATCGTTTTCATTGTGTTAACGAAATGCTGTCTTTTCATCGAATCGACATCCCGAGATGCATAAGAAATGAAACAATTCATTGGAAAATGTCAATTATGATAGAAAATGCTAAATTATTACAAATTTTGAAGTTTATTTTACGTATATGATGAGAAAAGGGTTAAATATCGAGGTAATTATAATTTCATGACTTTTACCAAATTGCTCAGAAATAAAGGAAATCGAGTTGGTTATTTCGTCAGATAACGGTGAAGAGATAGTCATTTAACTAGTACGTACTGTATTATATGTTTATTTATTTAACTCATCACATCTTGACTGAATGTTTATTTTTAATTTCCAGATTATGGTCTTCAATCCCGCAATCACTCAATACATTTAGACATTCTAATTGGGATTAAAAACGATAATATTTGTGTAAATGATGGAATTTTTATGATATTAATAATGTATTTATCGAAATAAATATTGTTTTACAAATTTTGCTCCATTAATACTTAGTGTTTGTCGAGTTGCAAAGTGATGCCAATGTAGAAGACGTAATATTCGTAAAATGGCATATTCACACGTTGCTGAATTTCATCACGATGGGGTACTGTTATCGCTTTTGAGTAATTGCTTTCGCTAGTAAATCTTAAACAGGCGATATGCACAACAAAGGCCTATTTAATGCGTCACAGTATTTCATGATAGCAAAATAATCAACGAAGTTTAGTGACGTAGTCAACTAATTAGTTGCATTAATGCACGAGTCTAAGTGTTGGTGTGATCATGTAAGAGCCTTTTGATACGAAATGATAACACAAGAAAAGTAATGTAGTTTTCTCCTTATTACCTAATGATACCCTTCGAGATAGTGGTGTTAAACGCAACATAATAATAACAGAGTATCTGTGATAAGTGGGACACACGTCGCATTGTGTACTTGCAGTGCCTGGACTACTACTACATGTCGTCTGCATATAGAACCTACGTTTGCTAGACTTTGTTTCGTTATTACAGTACGAACACATATTTGACGGCTACTTTCTTAACAATCTTGAATATTAATCGAATACGCAACTGAAACACTTTACGCAAGGCTTGATGACGCATAGAGGAAGTAATAACAGTTTATGACTGACGCATTTCACATAAGTATTAAAACGTTGCCTATCATTCTCGTTAACTCTGCAATGTCCTCAAAATAAGTAAAAGAGACAAAGTTAGTCGACATAAATGCATATATTTGTAAGGAAACAATAATCAATCAAATTAAAAATGACTCATAATAAAAGAGTACATATATACACAAAAAAGAGTTAATAACAATCCAGTGAAAAAATCACAGTTGTAGACTTTTTATAGCTGCATCGTAGTCATCATAAAGTCCACCAAACACTCTAACCGCAACATCTGTGTCAGTTTGCCTCCGTTGTTAGCGGTGTTGGACCAGTCTTTGCAGTTTTCGTCACCACCAGTTCCGTTCGCAGAAACTGGATGTGAACTTTTCAAGCAGAGATTGAGATTATATTCCTTCGACTGCCTTCGGCCGTATTGAGAAATATCTGAGGATGTATACATATCGGGTAAATTAATCTTACCTTTGGTGAACAATTCCTAATCTTAGCCACAGTGAATATGTGAACAAGGCAAAGAACAACCACAGAGTTGGTGAAATTCTACAGATTAGTCGTCCATATATTCCACGATAGATTTCAGGAATCATGTAACTTCCAAATCACCAGTTACACTTTTTCTTCTATAAAAAGCAAATATTATACAAGTGACTCTTACCCATCCGTTACAATTAACTGAAAGACATAAAATCTCCAAACTTTAAATTTCTGTGATTAAGTTACCCAGTAGTATTCTCCTTGTTACTGGATCTAATGCTTCTCACATCTGTGAAATTTATAAGCATGTTAACTTGTTCCCTTAAGCTAAAAAATATAATGTTTATCCGCTTTTATTATTGCTATTTCAAAGCCCGCCTCAGTAACGTACGGCACGTATTAACCGCAACGTTTATGCAAAGGAAAATCTACCAATCACAGTGTGCGTAAGTGACCTTCAAGTGCTCAGCCTCTCCATAAGCCATTTGTGCCGCTATCCTCTATCATTATAGTGCTTCCATCATTAAATGCGCGTCCAATAGGACGCATCTGTCATTTCGTCTGAACTGAGTTCCACTGAGTCGCAAACAAGGATTATGAAGAAACATCCACGAGTGTCTCCATCATCCTTTCTTACGGGTCCGTTCAACCTGACAACACATATACGACTGTCTAGTGGGATGTAATCAATTAGCGAGTTTCCTTTCCTAGTGCCCAATGCAATTCTTACACTAGCAGGACCATGTGAACTAGCCGAAGAATCTACCGACACCATAAAGTGAATTTTTTAGATTCACTATGTTTGCAAGGTGATAGTTAAGCGAATAACCACGCTTGGGTCTTTTATACGTATCTTCAAAACAGCCCACAGTCCCAGATACCAAAGCTGTATCTAGAGAAGCCTGTTTTCAACTTGGTATAAGGACTGAATATTGGGTTCTGCAAAATGAAGCTGACAGAGGGGTTTAAGGAAAATACAGGTAATATTTTTCTAGCTCAGATTGCTGTCAAGAGAGGGTCGAGAACCTACCTGTGGAATGGTATTAATAGTGATAGGAAATCAGTAAGATGGAGATGGGTGATAACTAGGAAAGCTTTGTGTGCTTATGGAAGTGAGTAAAAGGTGATAATTTCCTGGCGGCCAACACTAAAATTTCTTCAGTCAGCACTTGTCCGTACTCTTGGAAACAGGACTTAAAAATTTTGGCTATATAAATCTGTGCATTATACTTTTTATTGTCTTTTTATACATGTTTCAGATGTGGCCTCTCATTCTTCAGTTTATACGTTCCAATATTGCTTATGTAGCTTTACCATTTGCTGCTGTCGTTGGATTTGTTGGATATAATGCCGAAAGTTGGTTACGCAGTCCTGAGGCAATTTCAAGTTCAAGGCACAATCCTAAACAAACCATCTCAGAAGCCCGCACAGAACGTCAGTTAGCCAGAAATTTAAGCTCTTCTGAGGGTCCTCAGTCAGTTTCTCCAGATTCTGAACTTCAGTATCGTAGTTCTCCTATTTTTGATAAGAACAAATAAATGTGCTTAGATTAATGACCTGTAAAAAATGTGTTATTCTCTTTTGTACTAGGGGAAATCTTGTAATTAATATTTATAGAGTGATGATTTACATTATATGTTTTCTTATTGTCGCAACTTTCTTATATTGAATAAAAAGTACTAAACTCACGTAATGTAATTTCATTAAATCTGTTCATTTGTTAGTTTAATCCCAAATATCCAGGACATGTTTTTCATGTATTGGTATGAGAGCCACACATATTGTCTGTCACATATATTGTATGAGAGATGATGATACTACCCACTTGTCCAGGCTGAATTAGATTGATCCGGACTCGAACCCGCAACTCACTGTGAAAATCGAGTGTTTAAACCAATGAGACACATTTCTACACATGCCTGCCTTCCGCAGGTGATAAAGCTTTTAGTAACTATATATATATATATATATATATATATATCTCATTTTGTACATGAGGGACGCCAGTTTTCAGGCATCATCAATATGATAAATTACATATACGATCAGTAAGCGTACTTAATAATAATGATTCAATAAAATACATATTTTTCCTACCTGTGTAAGACACCAATTGTACATGCATGGATAAGCATGATTTAAATTACATAAATTTGGTGTATGGTTGAATTACGTGGTTTTTTGTCTTTCGTTTGTGGGAACAATATGATAACTGGTCAATCAATGGAGCACATCAAGAAATATAGAAATATTGACTTCGCATTAACAAAAACACCCAAGTGTGTTTTGGTTGGATTACAAATACTTGGGAATAAAATAAAGCTTGAAGTAATTCCCCAATATAACTTAGGTGTGTACAAAACCAAATCTTATTCTTGATTTATATCCAAATTGGGTAATAATAAAAGTAAGTGATACACTTGCATAGTTTTGTCAGCATTTTCATCGTAACATCACGAGTGAATTGTACTCATTGTAGAATAGTGGAAGTATATATTTTCTTATACATGGGAGTTTCCGAGAAAAGAAAGAATCGTGACGTATTACAAATTAATACTTTTTCATTGGTATAAGGGTATATTCCACAACTGTAATCCAGGTTGTGTCGTAGGGGAAGGTAATACGTAATTCACGAAGCATTTGTAAGATATGGGACCAATAATGTTTGCAGATCATTTGTCATTGTAAATGGTCAAATATCCACATTCTTCATTCTCACTCGAAAAGTCATATGGAAGCTAAAATGGTGAGAGTAAAAAGAAGACAAACAACAGCAACGCGAAAGAGAGCAAGAGGAGTCGTTAAGGAGTGATTAATAAATATATACATATATATTCTGCTTAGTAACTATGGTTATTCTGGTACACTAACTAACTAGTCCTGTCATGCCAACTTTTATATTATGTGTGAACTAATATCACTGTCCTGTGTAGAAATGTTTATCATGTAGTTTCAATAATATTAAAATTTTTAAATTGTAGTTTGTTGTAACTACACGTTTAATGAACTTAAAATATCTATGTATGGTGAAAAAGAGGGCGTAAGAGTCAGGCGCAGAAGTTCATTGTCATCTTTGAGGAGTCTGGTGACTGATGAGATGAACACTGGAAGTGTGTTTGCATCACGCACATTAGCTGGTAGTCTATTCCAAATGACTGAAAACTTATTTAAGAAGAAGTTGTACCGCATGTAAGTCTGACAAGGCTCTATAGCAGCTAGGTTGTGATGATTTCTAAGATTGTAACTGATGACAGCGGTAGGTTTAGTTATTGGCTCGAAGGAGTGCAAGAGAAGATTAGTTAGCTTGTAGTAAAAGATAAGGTTTAGCTTAAGACGTCTTTTCCAGAGGGGTTCTAATGTTAGTCTGTCGCATCGCTCATAGTATTTGAGACCACTTTCTAAACCAAGAGTTCTTGAGGTAAACTGCCGTTGCACTCCCTCTAATTTAAGCTTGTCATTTTGTCTGAGTCCGCTAAGAATAAACGGGCAGTATTCTAAAATAGGTCGGACACAAACTTTGTATAATAAAACTCAATTGGTTATTAATTGTAACTTTTTTCTACTACATAGTCTCGGATAAAAGATGCAGAATCAGAGACTAACATATAAATTTGTTTATAGTTGTTACAAAGCTGCATTCTTAGCACAGTTTAAGGACAATGTATTTAAAAATGTACATTTCTTGAAGTCACTTAACTGTTATGATTAAGCAGGTGGGTGCTAAAAATGAAAGAGATGGAAAAGGCGTTAGCAGTAGGTAACATGCGAAAACTATTCAGTCTCATTAAGGAGACGAGGTGCAATAAACTCATGATAGAATAAATCATTTCTGAAAAGGATGATACTTTACCTATGAGGATAGACAATTGGAGCGTTGAAGGGAACATGTTGAGTAATAATTCAGCTGGCATACAGTCACGCTAAATGTGACAAACACTAAGTACCTAGACATCGGTTCTTTATCTGTAACCGAGATTGTGTGAGCTGTTCCTTATCTGAAATAATACAAAGTAACAGGATCTATCAATATAGCTGACTGCGTTAACTAAGATATTAGATATTTTGTAGGAACCTGAGATAGTCCCACTAGACTTATGCAGAAATTGATTATCTCAGTTACTAAGAAGGGAGGAGTTTCCTCCTGTGATGATACCGTATGACTGGGATGCAGACTCCCAGTTTAAAGGTACGGAGTTAAATGGTTAAGTACACCGGTCAATTCACTCATTTGGGAAGTTGTTGCAGGTCTTATAGATTGATTACTGATGACATCTTATCACGGGTACAAAAGGTTCATGTTGAGTTTACGAAGTCACATCATTTCTGGAGTAGATGTTATATCCAGCTATCCGTCAAAGGATATGTGTATATCACAGTAGTTCGTTCTGTCCTCCATAAACCCAGGGTTTTGTGGTTCAAGTTGTAACTATGATTATTGTTGTTGTTAAGGCTCCCCAAGTGGGAGGATTGTGATTATTAGCTGTAAAACAGAAGCCATTTGGCGTCCGAAAGCATTCAGAGATGGGCGAGAATTCTCAGGTTATCCAGTACGTCGCTCGAATGGGGGCGTTCTTATGTCATTGTAAAGGGAGGTACCTGGCTTGTATTTTTCCTGCAGTGCTCGTTGAGGCTTATCTCATAAATGTCCACTCGGTAAGTAGCTGGTTGCATGCTGTTTACAAGGTATGGCACGATATGCGACTTGACAAGGTCAGTTCAATGTATTCACTAGATGCCTCACCAAAAATATTCAGCATATTACATAAGTCAGGGCACTGGGTAGAAAGCCTTTCGAATAAAATGATCTACTTGTTAGAAGAAGATAAAAGAAACTTATAGCTTCAGTGTCTAAAAACACATACAAATCGGTATAAAAAATTAAGGAAATTTGAAACTGCAATTATGATGGGAAGGAAACTATGAATGAACTGTTATTAGTTCTAGACCCTATTAGGGTTTGTTTATTTAACTTAGTTGCCGGGTCAGGTATCTTATATTTCAAACAGTTTGTGGACTGGTGATACTACCCAGACTGAAGTAGGTGAACTGGGTTCGAACTCAGGGTCAATTGAGTGAAAGTCGAATGCTCAAGACAGTAAGCCATGTCTCCATAATGTTCACCATACAGATCTTAGACAGAAATCACTACACTTTCTCAAAAGGTTCAGATAGAAACTTTATTCTCTTTCATTCAGTCTAGTTTTATTTGTATTAATTCGGCAAATTGAGAGACAGATGTCTATGGGGTATCTGCGTAACACTTATATCAAAAATCTCTATTAATCAAAAAATATCAATAAGACTAATCTTTAATTTTTCGAGTTTGACCATGGATTGATATCATTTAGAGAACTATTGATAAAAGGGGCGTACTAGGCAGCCGTTTCATCCCAGTTTTGTAATCATCATCAGTACACAGCCTCTGGGGTTCGAACCTAGGATGTCCCGGTTACAAGGCAAGCTCGTACACCAGTGAGGTCCATCCAGTCGCGAGTGAGGATGGATTTCCCGCCGATGACATTGGTTAGTAGTCGCGCTAAACACACGAATTGGTAGGAGTTGGAATTCATGAGCCGTTGAATCGAGCCCCAGTGGCTGACTGTTATATGAGCTTCCCTATTTAACCGGTAGGCCCTGGGTTCGAACGCCGGTGGTTGCACACTGATGATGGTTCCCAAACTAGGGTGAAACAGCCATCTAGTACTTCATGGTTTTCAATAATTCTCTAACTGATATTAATACATGGTCAAACTTGAAAAATATATCTAATCCGTACAAACCAAATCTTGAAAATTAATCCTTAGTGTTTTTATTATTTCAGGCACCAGTCCTTTTCAAGTATGAATACATAGTCTAAAATGGATGGCTTTAAACAACTATATAACTGTACTAAACTTTCCTCAATTTGATCTCTGTCAGCATTCTATTAAAACAAATTAGACTTTTAAGTAACTGTAAGCAACAGTTGATGAAGTACCATGAATGACTTTTACCTATCCCATTCCAATCGTTGTTGTTTCTGATTGATAGTGCCGTATTCATGAGGAGAAATGATACTACGAGAAGATTAAATAGAAGTTTTAAAATAGTATGCCTCTACTTTACACAATTCAATTACTTTCGTTTTTGAAGAAGAAAAGGACTACATCTACAGACTACGTGCCAAAAGTAGACCTATTCAGTAAAACAACCTTTTACTTCTGAAAGTCTTCAAATAACTTGATTCTGGATTAGTTTTTAAATACCGTCGAATTCTTTTTTCATCGAATTAACTTTTGTTTATTATTTATCAAAATTATTTGTGGCCTGTCTCATTTAACATATCTCAGTAGTAACACCATCACTAGGATACAAGCTTAACGGTCTAGATAGATAGGACGAAACGTGTGTCTTGGTTTCCATTGCTAGCTACTGTCAACCAACTAATTAGTGAAGTTAAGATAGGGATCTTGGAGAGCGTGAAGTCAATTGATTCTTCTAAGTCCTTAGAACATGTAAAAAATGATTTCACATACTATTGTATTTATCAGTATAGATGTACGACACACACAATTAAGGAGGACATTCTGATCTCTGAACGTAAGTGCTACACAGAAAATTAGGATACAGTGTGAATGTCCAGAACCAATTAATGGTGAAATTAGACTAACAAGCGCCTCAGTTTTGAGACCTATTATTGAAACACGACAAAATAGATGTATACGCACCTTTTAGACGTAATTATTAGACCTGTTGGGAGTGACGGGGATCCTAATTTCTGTGAAAGCCTAGGTAATCATGATATTTAATCTCCCACAATGTATTCATAAACAATTTGTCATCAAGCTAACCCTTCCTTGGTATATTTAGTTCTGAAACCAGAATTATTGTTCCATGATGACTCTTATTTTACTTTATTGATCTTGTTGTTATTATGACATTTGATATAGCCTTTTAATCTGACTATTGTTTATTCTGTTATCTCTTAACACATAATTTTTTTAATATAAATTCCCATGACACGTATGTGTGCACGATCAGATTGTTTGAAATACATTGTGCAAATACGCACTATACGATTTGAATAAGCTACGTCTCCTTTTCGTTTTTGTCAAATAACTTCTGTTTAACTGAAACTGTTTTACCCCATATTTATCTACAAATGATTCAGTATTTGGCCTTATTTCACTCTTTTCTGTTTCTTTAGCTCATTAAAGATTTTCATTTCATTAACCATTATTTGGTGTATGTTAGTTGAATTAGCCTTTGAGTATGGAAGTGGCTATTTCTAGGCCTCGTTAATTCACTGCAAATGATTAGGCATACTTATGAATCCAGTAATTATGTGTAAGATTTTGTCAGTTGTATATTTGCCTTTGTTGTCTTCTGTCAGAATCTCCAATAGGTGAGGGAAGGATAAGATCGCGAAAAAAGCAAAGAAAGATCCGTTTGAAACAATAAGGCAAGCGTGAAAGTTAGACAAAAGTAAGATAAAGACGAAAAACATGGGCAAATGGAACATTTTTTCAATATAAGATTTATGCTTTGTGTCATAATTATACATCGCTTGCGAGATAAACAATCATTTCTTTGTTAAGTAGTTATGTGTTCTGCCATTACAATTATTTCATACAAAAGTGCAATTGATAGAGGTGAGTTTATAGATCTATTCGTACTACAAAGAGAAATATGGCCGATTGCATTTTTATACTTCTATAACTTTGCTCTCTCTTTCTCTTAAACATTGAAAAAATTTTTTATTCCTTTATATTTACAGTGCTCTATAGGGCTTCAAGCTAGAGGCTTGAAGTTTCAGTAGCACTGGTGTTTATTTTTACGGCATGGGGTTGCTAGCCTCATGTCCAACCTTCCCTCTTTACCAGTCTTATCACTGGCTCAGCGAGCTTAAGGAGCGGCCGAGGATCGAACCCAAGACCATATGCGTGATTGGCGAACGTTCTACCGCTGTGCGAACGATGCACATAGAAGAATTTATTCGCAATTATTATTTAACACTGTGGTGGTGTGATACAGACAATGTGTTCCGACGGAACATGATTCTGACATATTCCCACAGTTCAATACGGAATTAGCAACAGAATACGATATATCTATTTGAACATTCACTACAGTGACCCTTAACCGGAAATTATTCTGGAACTTTCCCATCCATTTGATATAAATACACGAATGTACAGCCTAGATGATGAATTCGTTGAAAAGATAATTTTCTTCGCTGCAGTTGTCTTCTTAATAATTCCATATTTTTATTGGACAATAGATTCTTGGATGATTCGATGCCCGTCTTTCCTCGCCGTCCATCTTATCTTCAGTATCAAGTGAAGGAGGCAGATGCTGATTGACAACCATTTGTTTTTGAATGTATAAGTTCAGCTTTAGTTGCTTAATCGCCAGACTAAGACTAACTTTTACTTCAGTTACCTTAAATCATTTTAAAACGCTGATTTCTTGGCCACAATCTACCGGACAACTAGCTATTGCACTACTGAAGACGTTAGCGTCTTTTAGGTGAGTCTCTTGGAATAAAGACTAGAATGCTTTCACAAATCCTTTTTTCTGTTCGTCTCATGTATGTACTTTGGTACTAACATGTAACTTGGAAATATAATTATATAAACTACGGAGATAAAGGATTAACAAAAACCAATCTCATGTTTCTTAGTTGAAGTGATCGGATAATACTTGATTCAGTTGCTTTCTAACCGACTGATCACTGCATGGAAAGACCGCCGTAATTCACTTATAGTACTTTAGAACGACGAATGTATAAGACTAACCCCTAAAATATTAATCTCATATTGAGAAGATACGGATGACACACTAACAAGGCAAGGTTTATTCTTATATGTGTGAAACTTGGGCATTGTGGTAGTATGAAATTCCACATTAATACGTTTATTAGATATGTCACACAGTGAAACAGTATTATCTACTGGTTGACGTTTCGAACGCACTTTGTTGTTCAAAATCATATCAGTTCTTCTCTTAGGAACAAGGCGAATGACTAAAAAATACAGCCATTCAAACAGTTATTTTGCGTGACCGATAACTTAGAAGTTTAATTTATAAAAAGCTGTTTTATGACAGGTTAACAAAGCAGCAATAAAAATTCAGTGACACAAAGTTCGATCTACGTTAAGATCGAATATTCATTATTATAAAAGTTTTTGTATTTCCCAATGAATGAAAAAACCCGATGTTGTTTTTACTGATTTTTCACTATTTAGTGTTAGTGGTTTTGTTATCCTTGCCAATTGGTCAACTTGACAACGCAAAAATGACTCCATTCTGATAAGCGATGATTAAGTTGTTATATATAAGCTGAGATTTTGTAAGCTCTGGTTTAATAATACTTTGATAAAGCTATTAGCAGCATTGAGTAGCGAAACGTCAGTAAAAACAAAGTCATTTTGTTTTTCATTCATTGGAAATACAAAACTTTTATAATAATGAATTTCTACCTGGTGGTTATCCCGTCAAAAAATTCATTACACAGGTATATTTCTGATTGATAATAATAGATTGCTATGGCGTTCGAGTGGATCATTACGTCGGTATCACAGTACTGGGATGCAGTAGGCAACTTGACTGAGTATCTAATACGACTGTCCTTCCTCAAATACCTTCTGCTTCATTGAGGCTAAAAATATCAGAAGACAAAGACTGGCCTGTGACTGCAACTTTATTAGACAGAAATACTTCGCTTATGCACACACTTCCAGTACAAAGTTATGCGACGTGTGTGGTAAGACAAACTACTCCGATTTGTTGTATAAGGTTGAAGATTTGGTTGGAGGTCAGAGATTGTCCACGTAACAACATAAACGTAGAACTGAAAAATGAAATATTTTATCTCTTCAGCCAGTGACTTAAAGTATCGGTTCTAATTTTATCCGCTTCATACCACTTAAGGAATGGCAACTGTCTAAAAAACATTAATCTCCTAAAAGGAACTGCGGCACTCTCACATACTGTGTGGTCGGTGGCACAGTGGTTAGGACTCTCGCCGACCATGCACATGGTCCGGGGTTCGAGTCCACGCCGACGCACACCTTGATATCTATGGTCGGTCTGCGAAATTTGGGCTACCGATATCCATGCTGAAAATTCCATACTTGTACCAAAAATACGGTGTGGAATCAAGCTGTAATGAAAAATGAAAAATAAAATTTTTTTTATCATTTAGCCCTCCACTTAGCCACATCATCAATAATTTGTTCATGCTGAATTATATATGCTCTAATTCCATCCCCTCAGCTGGTATCAGTATCTTCAGAAATACCCGACTGACATTATTTCTTCCTTCTGCCTGCATCCATTTAATAATAGTAAAATAAATAATTATTATCCAATCATAAAACTAGTCCCTTTGATAAGTTTGAACGAAGGGAGAAAGAACGAATTTATAAGTTAGGAAGAGGTCATATTTTGGTTTTAGGGCTTTTCATCAGCTAGCTAATGGCTTAAAATGAAATACAAAAGTATATATGAAGTGCTTGAAAATTATTTCAACTCAAAGGGTATAGTTGGGGAAAAAGAGATTTGAAAACAAGGTAGTCAATAAACTGACAGCAAGAGTTTATCTAAGCATAATGTAATGGTACGTTTGAGGAGAGTGTGAAAGAATGGTAACTAAAAGTAAAATTATTACGTAAACAAAACATTAAGTAAACTGGAAGTTCAGTTCAGCACACACAGAGAGGGGCATCTAGTTACCAGGGTAGTGCTAGATTAGTCAGACTCTCTCCCTACTTACAAAGATTAATTTGAAATCTTTTAATAGCCATGCCGTCGGCAAAGCAAACTGACCTGGGTTTTTCTCAGTACACTAATTATTTTGAAGACTTGGCTGATTTCGACTGTACACCCCTGCTTAGCGATTGCAGTTGCAAACACTTCCTTATTTTTCACATGAAGATTTTCAGGAATACATTCGGAAAATTGAGTAGGTGGTTTCCTCTTAGATATTCCTGTGTGCTTGTTATCCCAGGTGTATGGGAACAGGCAAATAAAGTTGTAGCTAACATGAGCAGTGTACTTATCTAATTAGGACTGTATTAGTAAGCATTTCCTGTTACAAAGAGTAATATGTCTAAAGGTGAGCAATATCCTTTTCAGTGCACTCTTGATACTTTTTCCGATTTTTTGTAATACTTCTTCTTTGTACGTCATGTAAATACAAACTAGTTTCTTTTCAACTGTTATGGGCTTTGGTCTGAATATTTCTTCTCTTCCATATTTGATTGTGAACTTCTTGAGATATCCATTCTGCATTTGATACTTTTCACTAATGATGAAGTGTTCATCAATCTTATTTTCGGAACACAGCGCCTTTACTCTACTGAACAGCGTTCTGACTAAGCTGCATTTATAACTAATCGGCCCAAAACTGTGTTAATTCAAGTACTGACCAATTAACGTTTCTTTCCTATAGATTGTCTTGTCAACGGTTCCATCATTTCTTCATTCCAGAAAGTTGAACTAGTTGTTGACTCAATAGACGAACAGCAAAATATGTTCGTTCTCTTTAATATTATTGTTATCTAATCTAGGCCACATACGTAAATGCGTAAATCAGCCAGCTCACAGAACAAAACTAATTCAATACACATTGGTTTTATCGATTAATTTAATATTTTACATATTAAGCTAGTTATTTTATTTAAATTTTCTGTCTAATGCTGCATAATTTTCGGACATCATCTTATCTTATAACTGGAATATCATATATTATAGATATGATTAAAAAAGGGGAGAAAGCCATCAACTCTTGCAAAAAGACTCATCATAAACCAATTACAAATCATAATATTAATAATAAGATAGACAAATCAGTTGGTACAAAATTAAGTGAATACAGTATATGCTATGCACCAAAAATAAATAAATTTACATGGCAAAATAAATATCGCAATCTACTTGAATCACATTGGTTGCCAATTTATTCATTAAAAAATATCGATGAACAATATAAATTTCAAAAGTTGCCTTCAACAAATTCAATATTAAATTACCAACATTCATCTTATGATAATGGAGAGGAAGAGTTAATTGATTCATGGGAACCACAAACGCATACATCCCAGATAACATTAACGTCTGTTTGGGATAATAGTATATTTTTAACATGCGGTGATAGCGTTAGACAGAGATGTGATAAGAGATTACTTGTATGGGTGGATAATGAGTAACATCTATTATTCATTGATTTCTGGTATGTTTTCATTCAAAGAATTCCTATTCGTTTATCATCAGCTTTCTTGCACCAGTTATTATCTACTGACGGTTTAAATCATTTAAGTGTTAAAAACTGAATGTAGACGGGAAAATATTTTAAAAGGTGTTACTTTTAAAAAAGAAATGGAAGTTACCTACATTTACTTATTATTTTGATACTTTCCGTTCCTTTTCGAGTTTAAAAAATACATGAATTATTCTGTTTAAAACAAATTTCTTTTATGCATGTTGTTCCATTTTGATGCGTTTCCGAAATTTCCCGAACCAAAATATGGTTTGTGTCCAATAAATCTTTTATTCAAGGATGTTTCTTCAAAATGGCTAAATTCACATCCTAGTACTTATTTGATAAAATGTTGGGTCATTCAAAGTCGTTAATAATGCAGGGTACCTACCATGGAAACAAAATAAACCTAAGTCTAAAATAAATATATATTAACTAAGTAAACTTCTAGCTCGCCTGTGGATGCCTAAGGTGGTTTAAGTTTAGTTTTAACGGATAACACATCATCAGAGTCCGGTATCCAGGCACATTAGCTACAAAAAATCCTGAAATCTTCTCCCCAAATTACTCCAACATTTTATTTCATTTAAACATGTTGCCCTTCAAAGCATATTTCTAAATAACTCGGTCTTTTTGTCATCACTTTTTATTTATTTATTTTTGATTACAGCTTGATTCCACACCGTATTTTTGTACTAGTATGGAATTTTCAGCATGGATATCGGTAGCCCAAATTTTGCAGACCGACCATAGATATCAGGTGTGCGTTGGCAGGGGATCGAACCCCGGACCATGTGCAGGGTCGACGAGAGTCCTAACTACTGTGCCACCGACGTAGACTAGGTAGTGTATTGATTAAGTGGGTATAATGCAATATATCAGCAACATAACCAATTCATTACATATATCCAGGAATCAATCGCAGAGTATTTTGTTTCGATTCAATTCATCTTCTGAATGTAATGTTTGTTTAAATGTTGGCTTTCTTGTTAGTTGCTTTCTTCTTATTAATTATTTAAATTTAATTACTCTTTGAGAAAGGAGAATTAAGAGAAGTAAGTACATTCTAAAGAAGGATAACTGAGGAACATCCATCATATTTTCAGTCTTTAACATGTATGAACTCACAGATATGTTTCTTAGTAGCGCTGATATTTTCGACACTTTTCACTTAGAAGTGACCGGAAACCTCATTAAACAAGGGGTGTTGAGATGATGTCTACTTCTAAATAAAGTGTTAGGAGAATATTTTATGTAAAACAAAGTGCTCCGCTGGAACTCTTTTAAAACTATTAGAATAAATGGAGAGTTTTCAACTTGAAAGAAAATAAACAGTGATGTATGTCGGGGACATTTAAATCCCTTATTTAGTTTTGTAACATACAAAGTTTATTTTACTTGAACTTTTTAGGAATGTAATTAGCCACTACAGAAAGATCTGGGTGACAAACAATGGGGAGACAACATAATAATTTGTTTTGTGGTTAGGATGATGTTTAAAACTGAAGCCGTGAAACAAAGGTCTGAATATATTTGGCATGCTATGAAATACCTGTCCAGTGCTAGATAGATAGCTTTAAAGAATTGGTGCTCATCAAATTCAAATTTAATAGTAAGGAAAAGAGTGCTGCATCACTTATTTTAGAAATTTTATCAACTTAATGAATGCATGTCAAGTAGGTATATGAGGCTGTGTATCGTCATCGTTTGAAATCGCAAATATTGGACTGAATTTTCGACATAGAATTGTGCACAATAATATGGTAGTTTCATACGCCATATTTCCTAAAAACATACATAGAGATACAAGAAGACGAGAAATGTAAGGAAACTGTTGTAAGAGGGAATGCGCATGAAAATGAATAATTCTGGTTACAGGATTTCATCATGAGCTGCCACTGGTTAGAGAAGCATTGGAAAATCTGGGAGTACTGGAAAGCTGTTTCGCCCTAGTTTGGGACTGTTCATCAGTGCGCAACTATCGGGGTTCGAACCCAGGACCTTCTGGTTACAAGGCGAGCTCGTAGACCATTAATTTTGGAAAAAAAAGAATAATGAAGACACAATGAATCTGAAAAATCAAAAGGTGTGAATGGTTCTGTGCCACTGAGAATGTTTTTGATTTATCCGCTACTCATGTTAGAGTAGTGTAAGACAATGTAGGCTTATCTGGCTAAGGTCCTTGAAATGCTAAGAGAGGTTGGTTGAGTACACTGAATAGGAATATTTTCAGAAATAAAATCGTCTACAGCAGTATCTGATGGCTAGAATTGTTGACATCAAATTTGGCGGTTTACTACCACTATGTTGACATGGTTCAAAGTTCATAATAATTCATATGTATTCCCCTTCATCATTATTACTAAAGACCTAAGCACTTTCACTAATCTTCATACATAAATATATTTGTTTTATTGTATTATGAATCTGTTTTAGTTCGCCTCTCTTTTTCCGCCGTGTAATTAAGAATACGTAAGTCAGCAAAAATGTCTCTTTTCATGATTTCACTCCAAAGCTGTACAGTGTTATTCAAAAGTTTATACGTATGCAATTATAACTTTAAAAAATTTCAGAGCTTTTCGTCAGTTAATAACGAAATAAGTCAAAGTGCATGAGAAATAACAATCTGTAAAAAATTCTGATAAGTCTTACAACTAATTAGCTAAGTGTTTAACAGTCACACAGAAACAATTGATAAGCAACAAAAGGACAAAGAAGTGAAAATAGGTTGTAAAAGATATAAACAGAAATATTACACGGAGTTTATTACGCAACAACTAAGAGTAGTAAAACTGAAACCAAGACCATGGTGATATTAAAGGCTGGATAAAACGTTTCTGAACACAGAGTTACGAAATGCGGTGATTTGAACTGATTTATTTCTGTGCAAAGGTACTACACTGACTTATCACTCTGCTTGAATAATCCGTGTATTGAATCTCTGCCCACTTGTCAGCTGACTAACTTTTATTTAATATTATGCCTACAGAAGCTTTTATGTAGTCTGGAACAATATGATGGTGCAATTTTTAGATGTTACAAATGAAAAAACTGCACATAACTTTTGTTTAAAATGATTCATTGTAACCTTGGAGTACAATTAAAGTAAAGCGTGCTGCTCGTCTTTTCATTGGTCCATACTGTCTACTTGCTTTATTACTAACTGTATACTTTGGATTTTGCAGGAACTTCCCATCTTCATCTGAAGACTATTCTATAACTGGTGCGCAGCTCCTACTAGTAAACGTGACCCCAGTAGTGAAAGCTTCTGTGGATTATCATAATAATGTGTAGCAGTGGACTTTAACTGTATCATCAAGTAACCATTGATTTCTATAACTCGTTTACTGTATTTTTCATTTTATACGTTTTCAATATTGCTTCACTAACTGGGATTTTTATTCTCATATTTCGTAACGTTATCACGTTTACCGATAGGTCCTCTACACCTCTACCACTCATGAAGAAGAATTCTACTGAAGTTGTCAATGTAGTCGCCTTACTGTATTCAAGTAGGTGATGACATAAACGCTCCTAGTTATTCCCTTGATGGTACACATAAATGAACGCATTCATTAGATTCCCGTTAAATTGAATTAACATCATTTGATTAGTAATGTGACATTATTCACACTAATCGGATTCTCTGCTTGACTGTCGAGATCATAAATGAGTGAGAATACCTAAGATTTACAATAGTATATTGGCGTGATAAAAAGATTACATTCACGAAAACAGGGTTTAAAACGCATAAAAAGCATCAGACAGAATACCGTTCTTTAACATGTCGTAACAATAACTCTAAGTTCTTCTTAGAAGTATTTATTTTAATCCAAATGACTAGTCTATTGAGTGAAGATTAAGTCAGAATTAGACTATGGTTTAATTAAAGTTAGGGTTAGAAATTACTGGTGAGGACTTAGTTTGATACACTTTTATAGATGAAATGTTTTCCTTAAATGCTTAATAGAGTTTTTCACTATTACTCTTTACACACAAATGAACCTTTTTAACGCACTTAGTCAGTTCATGCTAATTGGTGAGATCATTCGCTTAGTTCACTTTAGTTTAACTCTTCCACCTTCAAATGGTTGACTCACTCTGTGGTGTTATTGTTAGTGAAGTCAAAAGCGAATTCATTGTTGTGAAAGTTAGAAAGGCAGAAACCGATACTTGTGAATTCTTTCTCAAATATTTGCAGAAACGGTCTAAAATACCAATTAAAAGCTGTAGATAGTATGATAGCATGACAGTCAAATTAACATTATAGTCTTGTAATCACATACCAGAGAAGTAGTGATGTCTGCAACTACAAATTTAGTGCATAAAGTAGTAATGGAAAAGGAGATAAAAACTGAATAAAAGAATGATTATTTATTATGCCATTATTAGATATTAATTACAAATTATCTGGAAAATGTATCATACTGTGCAGAGACGCAGCGTCCTCTTTAGTGGTTACGATCCATTGACTACACACTGGCTCGTCTACATTTGCTTGAATGAATGTATATCATTATAGGGAATAAACAAGCCGACTTAGGAACTGTGTGAAATAATAAGATGAAAGTCTAAATTAGTAAAAGATATTATAATATTATTATAATATTACAGATATTAGGGGCAGTGTGTCATAAAAGAAGACGATTATTTGCAGAAATATTTCAGTCGACTTCTAAAAATTAAACAGTTTATTCCGGAGGTACAATTCACGGTGTATATATCGTTGGAGTAGTGTTCACTTGCAGCTGCTGCCTACTGGTTGTCCAATATGCTTTGTACGAGGATGAGAGTCTCTGTAAATTGTAAATAGTACAATACGAAAATTAATAAGACGGGCATATAGTTGAAGTGAATGAGAAGAGGAAGAAGAAACTCAGACAAAAAAAGTCTACTTACAATCCCGCGAAAAGCTATCATTAAAAAAAACATGTTGATTGAAACAAGACTGAAACAAAAGATATACAACAATGTCACTTTTTACATATAAGAAGAAATGCACAAAATAACCAACCTGGACTGTACATAATATTCTAAATATTTTACAGTTTTGTACATAAATGAGGGTTTTTGCCGTGTAAAAGAGTTACGCACTGTGTATGATGACCAGTTTCATTTTGT